TCAGCATCATCATCAACATCAGCATCAGCATGATCATCATCATCGTCATCATCATCAGCACCAGCACCAGCATCATCACTCCTCCCTCCTCCCTCATCCCTCCTCCATCCTCCCTCCTCGCTCCTCCCGCCTGCCTCCTCCCTCCTCCCTCCTCCCGCATCCCTCATCCCTCCTCCCTCCTCCATCCTCCCTCCTCCCTCCTCCATCCTCCCTCCTCCCTCCTCCCTCATCCCTCCTCTCTCCTCTCGCTTCCCCCCTCCTCCCTCCTCCCTTCCCTCCGCATCCCTGCGTTCCCTCCTCCCTCTCCATTCCTCCCTTCCTCCTCCTCCCTCCTCCCTCCTCCCTCCTCATTCCTCCCTCTCCCTCCTCCCTCCTCCCTCCTCCTCCGGCCCCTCCGCCTCCGCGCCCTCCGCCCTCCACCCTCACTGCGCCTCCGCCTCCGCCCTCCGCCCTCCGCCCTTCGCCCTCCGCGCTCGCGCCGGCTCCGCCCTCCGCCCTCCGCCTCCGCCCTCCGCCCTCCGCCTCCGCCCTCCGCCCCGTCCGCCCTCCGCCCTCCTCCCTCCTCCCTCCTCCCTCCTCCTTCCTCCCTCCTCCCGCCTCCCTCGCCCTTCCTCCCTCCTGAACTTCCTCCCTCCTACCGTCCTCCCTCCTCCCATCCTCCTCCTCCCTCCTCACATCCTCCTCCCGCTCCGTCCCTCCTCCCTCCTCCCCTCCTCCCTCCCATCCCATCCTCCCTCCTCGCCGCCTCTCCTCCTCCCTCCTCCCGCTCCCTCCTCCCTCCGCCCTCCTCCCTCCTCCCCTCCCTCCTCCCTCCTCCGTCCGCCATCCTCCCTTCCTCCCTCCGCCCTCCTCTTCCTCCTCCTCTCCTCCGTCCTCTCCCGCCTCCTCCTCCTCCTCCTCCTCCTGCCTCCCTCCTCCTCCTCCTCCTCCTCCTCCTCCTCCTCCTCCTCCTCCTCCTCCTCTGCTCCTTCCTCCTCCTCCTCCTCCTTCACCCTCCTCCTCCTCCTCCTCCTCTCCTCCTCCTCCTCCTCCCCCTCCCCCTCTCCCCTCCCCCTCCCCTCCGCCTCCGCCTCCCCTCCTCCTCCTCCTCCTCCTCCTCCTCCTCCTCCTCCTCCTCAGCTCTGTCCCCAAGCGTTGCGTTTGAAGTGTCGCACAGAAAGCACTGTAGAGTTAGCCCCCGCGCGTGCCCGTATGTAATGTTTTGGCTCAGTTTTCCGAGTCCTCATGAGAGCAGCCGACGCTCAAAATCGCGATACTCGGGTCGGAAACATCTTTCTTATGATTTGCCTTTGCTTCAGCATGGAGTGATTGTGCACATTGAACACGTTTGCAGTTGTCTTCGTGCCTGCTGCTCCGGATTCGTCGACGGGGTAGGCACGTATCCTTCCATATCTTCGCACCAAGCGCATTTGTTCGCTTGTCCAGAATATTCAGTTCTGTCGTTGCGGTCGATTTCATGCCAGTCACAAACACTACCAGGAGTGGAAATGATCTCGTCAGGCAGTTTGCTTGCGATATGCGGAGGGATGCTCATGGTGCTCCTCTCGATGTTGCTGATTCGGTGGCAAGACTCTGGTTCAGCATTGTTGTGTCTGTTTTGGCTGGCCGCACGCGCTCATCCGCACAGGAAGTCTTGGCTTTATTTCGCAACCTCTTGTCTCAAGTGGAGTCTTGGATGTTTCCGGCTTGTCAACGTCGGCGACACCATGCGGCCGTCGAACGACTCTGGGCATCTTTGCAGTGTTGTTGTACGGCTCTATGGCTTAAGCACGCCCGTCGATGTGCGCAGGCCCGCCTCGTTGGATGCTTACTCCGACCAGTGTTTCGTGATCTCTTCTGGGACCCCAGTGCTTTAGACAAACATGGGCTCTTGCATGCAGCAGCGTCGCTATTCATGAGGTTCCAGTGGCAAGCCATCCATGATCGAGTTGAGGACCAGGCCTGTCTTTATGCTTGGGTTGGGCACGGCTTCTGCTACTTGGGGGCTGCCAGACTTGCACGCGCTTCATCGCCGAAGCCAGGGCCTCCGTTGAGGTGGCTCGAGCACGCAGTACTGCGGCGAGACCCGGCGATGAAGGATGCTTCTGCTTGGCGGTATCGCATGGCGAGACGGACACTTCCCGATCGGTTGACCTTCTGCGCGGTACGATTAGGCAATACGGCGAGCATATTCCTAGCGGAGGCGATGGCCATAGGGGCTCTGCATGGGAATCTTGTGAACAGCACTCGCCGCTCCCAATGGCAAAGACATATTTGCGTGCATGGGCCTCGGAGGTCACGACCACCGCCTGATCGTCGCTCACGTCTACGAGTTCCCGGCGGACTGTTTGACGATAGAGGACTACCTTTCGCTTCTCAGCGACAGGAGCAGGATGTGCAGCCGCAGCGGGTTTTCCCGCGTACCGTATCAGATATCGATCACCACCGCAGTGCGTGGTGGCTGGAGCGACCGTATGGCCAAGTATACTCCTTCATGGCACGTTCAACTCCAGACAAAGGCCCAGTTGATTTGCACTCGCCCTCTATGTGGCCACTTGTAATGTTATGGTTGGTGAAGCGCAATGCATATGTCAACTGGCAGCTCCTCGCGGAAAGTGGGGCATGTCTCTGCACGATTTGCTCATGCACTTGATCGCTTTGTCTACTTTGGTCGTCAGCCCTTACAGGAAGAGTACTTTTCACGCGAATGTTAGCCGTGCGCTAGCTTGTCTGGGGCTACCTCCAGTGAGTGGCACTGTCGTTCAAGTGCCGTTCCCATGCTTGGCATTTCCTGTCAGGCAGATGGTAAAGTCTAGCATCGACATGCTCCAGCTCCCAGGATCAGTGAAAAGGTGGCTGTGGAAATCGACTCGCTTCATCCCTGCCCCACGCGCCACCTTCCAGAGAGAAGTCAAGGCGTCAAAGCTTGCTCGTGATACGACCATGCTACGGTTTGCTGCTCAGGGCTTTGGCATGCGGAAGATCTTTCGCCGATGGGACGTGCAGCGGCGCGCAGAGCCACCAGAGATGGTGGATGCTGCATGCAGCGTGGTGCACTCATGGCTGCGGCGATGGACTGGCAGACGCCTGCCTCACGAGTTAGCTCAGAGCCCGTGCTTGCACCATGCCATCTTTCAACAGTGGACAAAATGGTTGCCATCGTTGCTGTCTTACTTCATGTATACCAGCCAGTTCTCTTGCACCGATGGTTACGTCACTTTGCCGGATGATAAAGATAAGCATGCATGTTGGATAGTGCCTTACATAAGTTTTCAGGTGTTTTTGTCTTTATTTATCGTGAATAGTCGCCAATGGGAGTTTGAGGACAGAAGTCAGGAGGAAACGGAGACCGACATCCATTCCATCCTCCGGTCTGGCATTCCAGACCGGCTGCATAAAAGTATGAAGTTAGATCGAGTTGGGATTTGGTTACCCCGCATGTACGTGACAGTGAAGACAAAGTGTTTCGGTAATGGCTGCGGCGTTGGTCCAAAATCGTGCGCAAAACCAGGCCACAGTTGCTGCCGAAAGATTGTTTCCTTCGCGCGATGGCCGGCTAAGTATGTGTGGCGCCGCATAGGGAGAGCAATCGACACGGTTGTCAAGAGACACGCTCGCGGAGCAGAGGTTTGGAGTCTGAAGGCTGCTGTGCCAGAGCTCTGCCGTCGAGTGGAGGCCTTGCAACCCATGGAAGGGCAATCTACGTGTTTTTGTGCATCGTGTGGCGACCCGAAGCGTTTCCTGAATGGCTTGGTTGCCGATGCTGGCCAGATGTTCGAATCGATCAACGGCTCGGACGTGGCGGACGCAGCGCGAGAAGTGTTTGATCTAGCCATGGCCCAGACCGGCGAAGACACCGTGACAGTTCTGACGACGAGCCAGCGGCGAGCCTACATGGGGGGATCCACGTCTTACAGCACGCCGCGGGCAACGACCTTTTCCTTCACTGAGTTGCGAGCCTGCTTGAACACGTTCGTCAAAATCGTTTGGACCGCGGTCGGGGATACTGTAGCACGCATGGCAGGAGTTCCAATTGGAGGCTTCTTGAGCAAGACGGCGACTTCAGTCGTCCTGAACTGGGCTGAGCACCTATGGCACGACCGTTTTAGCGCGGAGGAAGGCTTTCAGCAGCCCTGGACATCATGCGTGGCATCGCTCAGGTACGTGGACGACGTGCTGATGATATCCCATGTTTTCTGTCACACTTGTCTGGCAGCGTATTTGACGAGAATTTACCCCATCACATTCGATATCTCTTGTACTGGGCGCGTGTTGTCTTGGCTGGATATCACGTTCGATCTTGACACGGGCCGGCATGACTTCCTCTACAAGCAAGCTTCGACCCCGCCCGCATGGTCGCTACAACAGCACGATTTGCGATCGTACATCCTGTCCAAAGCTGCTCGGGTGAAAGAGCTGGACCTCACCCGGAGGCAGTCTGCTCGGCATCTGGCGCGAACGCTCATCGACCTGAAGGGCTGCGGTTGGCAACCAAAAGACTTTCGGTTTGTACTGCATACAACGAAGGGGGAACCTGCGTCTGCCACGCTGGAGATCCTCTGCGCATTGTTAGCCAGTGCAGCCTCGCGTGATCACAGATTGGGAGGGCTATTGTTGCAGATGGTTGCACAGTGAGACCCACCCGTGACAGTTGTAATTATGCAGGCAGGTAGGTAGCCGACGCAACATGGAAG